ATATATATATATAAGGCAATATGTAAGAAAAATGAAATTTGAGTGTTGAATATATAATTATATACAAATTGGTTGATATGTACATAAATCACTTTAAATATTTACAGAAGAATATAATTCTTTTAATTATATTTATAAAAAAAAATTTTAAAAAAAGATTAAATTTATTATAATTTTTTTAGAACATGCTACAGAGTAAAAAAAGTGCTACAAACGATATATGTATTTAAATCTTTTTCCAAATCATTAAAGCTTGGTTCATGGGAATAGCTCCAACAAATAAAACGATTTAAGAAAAGCAAAGTCAAAGCCGAAGAAAGTTGGCACTTCGAAACTCCCATTTGCCAACCCTACTACACTTTCCCCAAAAAATTCGAACACCGAGGCCGCCTTCTTCTTCTTCACCGAATGCCATCTTCGAGCTCCAGCCGTTCCCTCGCCAATGGCCATACCCGGCTCCATTCCCCGGCCTAAAAAACCAGCCTTTATCACCTTTCTTTCCTCCACCCTCCTTCCCCTCCTTTTCCTCTGCGCTCTCCTCCTCCTCCTCCTCCTTTTCATTTCAGCTCCCCTCCCCTGCATCTCCTCCCCTCCCCACCTCTCCTCCTCCTGGTCCGGCGACCTCCGCCTCGCCGAATTCTCCTGGAACTCTCTCCCCTTCCCCTCTCACCATCCCCTCCACACTACCTCCCTCAAAATAGCAGTCTTTACCCGCAAATGGCCCTCATCCTCCTCCCCCGGCGGCATGGAACGCCATGCCCTCACTCTCCACTCCGCCCTCTCACTCCGCGGACACCAAATCCACGTCTTTACCTCCGCACTCGACCACTCTCCTTCCTCTCTTAACACTCTGCATCTCCACCCCCTCGCCGGCCGCTGGCGCTGCGACGAAGCCCTTTCCCTCTTCGAAGAAGAGCACGCCATCTCCCCCTTCGACGTCATCCACTCCGAAAGCGTCGCTCTTTATCACCGCTTTGCTCGCCGTATCCCCAACGTAGCCGTCTCCTGGCATGGTATCTCACTCGAAGCCCTCCATTCCTCCATCTACCAAGACCTCCTCCGCCGTTCCCACTACGAACCCCTCTCCTCTTCCTTCAACCGCACCCTCTCCTCCGCGATCTACAAAGTCCTCGACGAAATCCGCTTCTTTGAGAGCTACGCTCACCACGTCGCCATCAGCGATAGCACTGGCGAAATGCTCCGCGATGTTTATCAAATTCCTCGCGGTCGGGTCCACGTTATACTCAATGGAGTGGATGAAACCGAATTTCAGCCGGACTTGGAGCTTGGTATAGCCTTCCGAGAAGAGCTTGGTGTGCCGGAAGACGCCGAGCTCGTAATGGGAGTCGCCGGACGGCTTGTGAAAGACAAAGGACATCCTCTTCTGTTCCAAGCCTTCACGGAGATAGCGAAACGGTATCACAATGTCTATTTGGTGGTGGCTGGATCGGGGCCCTGGGAACAGAGGTATAAGGAATTGGGGGAGAAGGTCATCGTCGCCGGAGCACTTCCGCCAGCAAAGCTGCGAGCTTTTTACAACTCGATTGATGTGTTTGTGAATCCGACGCTAAGACCGCAAGGGCTGGACTTGACGTTGATGGAGGCGATGCAGTGCGGGACGCCGGTGATGGCCACGAGGTTTCCGAGCATTAAGGGGAGTGTGGTGGTGAGGGACGAGTTGGGAATCATGTTCTCGCCGAATGTGGCGGAGCTTGGGAATGCTATGGAGAAGGCGGTGAGGGAAGGGAAGGGGAGGATGGCGGAGAGAGGTAGGGCATGCAGAGCGTATGCTATGGAGATGTTTACTGCGAGAAAGATGGCCATGGCGTATGAGCGCTTGTTTCTCTGTATTAAAAATGAGAGCTTTTGCAGGTACCCGCTTGTTTGATTAGATTTTTTTTTTTATTTTTATTTTTATATTGATTTACACGAACTATGAGTTGAATGTTGTCTTATCGATGAGATGTTATATTAGAAAGAAAGTATTTTAGCTCTGGATGACAATATTGCTTCTGGTCCGCCACTGTTATTATTATTTGTGAGAAAACCTGTGTTCTTGCTGGACAGAAAGGTTTACATTTATACCACACTTTTTGGGAATTTACGTGTATAACTAGGGCCAGTTTGGGCAGTTTATTTGGTGCGGTGATATTTTGTTTGTTTGGTTAAACTGCATTTTGACAGCTTATGCATATTTAAAACGCTGAAAACAACAATTTCACACCGCACCTATCTAGTTACGGTGGTAGCTTTCAGATAGCGGTTATCAGTATATTATTTTTAAATCAGTTTATCATCAAGTTATCCAATAAGCTGGAGCTGCCCCAATAAATATATAAGTTTGATATTTATTTGGATAACATGTTAGTATGATAATCCCATTAAAACGTATGTATAAAAATATACGGTTTACATTAAAAATTAATATTAGTCTAATTTTTAATGGGATGTAAATATTTGGTTGTGTGCAAGCAAATGTTAAAATTTTGGTGTTAGATTTGTTACATGTAAATTTATAACAATTATGTGGTATGCCTGTAAATCCCCCTATTATTTTATTAAGCATTATGTATCAAGGATCCTCCACTAATGAGTACAGACAACGCAAATTTGTATGCGATATCCGATCTGTACCACTGAAATACATCTTTGTTTTTTTTACGTTAAAGTGGGGCCCATTTTAAATATTTGGACGGTGGAGATTTTGCTTGCGGTGTCCGCACCCGCACCCAATAATTTTTCGTATCCAAGAGGGCAAAGCTGGAGAGGCGAATTTAATTTTATATGTTAAGCACTAATCTGTTCATGTTGGTGCAAATTTATGAGTTTCATGCGAATATAAACAATTTTGCTTGTTGAAGCTTATTTTGAACAATTTCTGCTACTACGATTTGATGCTACCTGCCATTATCTTATGCCTCAACTAAGTTTGGTGATGGAGATAAACCCTTGCCATAATTAGTGTTTGAAAAATTAGGGGAACAAATGGGGGAGAAGCTATTGATAAAATGATATTGATTTTGAACTTAGAAGTGATTAACAGCTAAAAAACAGACCAATATGCTCACAATTAATATATAAATCTTGATTAGTCATAATATTTTTTTCACTAATTTTATTTGTATAAAAAAATATGGTATATTCTCTACAGGAATTAACTTGGCGCATCATGAATTTATATTTGGAATTCACTACTTGTTAATCACACCTATGGTAAGGGAGGGTATTTGATGGCTGAAGAAAGCAGTGTTATTGCTTGGACCGCAATCAAGCACAGGTGGCTTCCTCAATCCATATGAGACTGTAAGAAAGAGAGAGAGAGCTCCCAAGTCTCTTATATTGGTTTATACGTAATATTTACCTTAGTATTTAATTTTGGGTGCTTGGCAAAATTAAACATGGTTGCTTTTAGCTGATTCAGGCAGTAAGTGGGGAACATATTTCTTCTAGGGAAGGTTAAGGTTGTCTGATATGATGTTATATATCCAAAAATTATTACAACTATTGAAAGTTTCTGTTTTCCTTATTTCGATTTCTACCTCCATATCTTTCTTCTCCTACCAGTTCTGCACCAGATTGGTATCAAAGACTGATGATTGATATAAACAACCTTTCGATGCGTGATGGATATCACAATTGCGAAACATTGCGGGAAGGTCAACTGGATTACCGACGATTTGAATTCTCTCGAAAAAATTACGATATTAAATCTTCGGATAACCGTTGGTACATTTGTATTGTCGGAATATCGGTCGATTTTGGAATTACCTACAATCATGTTACCTACGCTCTTAAAACTATCGGTAAAATTAAAAGGGACGGTTTTTTTTATCATAACCGATGGATTGTGGCGACTATCGAAAAAAGCCTAAATTCCTGTAGTGTGAGTAGAAGTTGGAAAACCTAACCATTGTGTTTCTAGCTTTTCATCTCCAAGTTTAGTTTCAACTTTTATGCTGTCATGAGTGGCGGCATCACCCAACATTCAAATATAACGATAACCACAACACCCACACCAATAATAGGTGATGTCATTGGTGAATTGAGATTGGTCTCATCCCGCACCGGCACAGTGCGAGCCTCTTGGATCAGATGAGGAATGACTCCCCTCCCTCATCAATGGACCACTGGCTTTTAGTCTGAAGAACTCTTGACCAAAATACCAAACATTTTCTCATATTCCATCGGACTTAAAACGAATGCAAGGTGAAAATTGATATTCCTTATTTTAATAATCATTTGCTTATCAAAGACTTCCACAGAGACTTCCACAGAATCATTTTTCACCATTAGATTATGAGCAATTGTTTGTATGTATAATATCAAAACTGTTAGCTTCTACATCTTGGAATTCTATTGCTCTACTGCTAGAAATGAGCTCAACGAATCCATTCAAAAACTCATTGGTCAATCTTTTAGGAGACTAAAAGATGCTAGCCAGGATAAGCAAAAAATAACTCTGTTAGGTTCCTTTTACATCCTATAAATTTTGTTGTTTTGGTGGAACTCTGAACCAGGGCTCCAAACCAATGCCCAATTGAAGAGAATTTGCCAAAGTAAAAAGTGATCTAACCATAAACCTTCCCATAAGTTAGCAAATCAAGTTCCTTCAATCCCAATCCACTACTCAAAGCTAATGATCCATAACTCTGACCAAAGTTGGATTCAACCATGAGAATGTCTACAATATATTCTGATTCTAACTCGAGCATCACCCAAATGATTGCCTCAGATGTCGACAACTAGAGTTGGTTGATTGAAAAATATATGATGAAAATCATGGATGTTTTCTAATTTTTAGCTAAGATTTTGAAGATAGTTCTTGGGATGAAGGCATGTTTCTATCTAGTGTTCTTCAAATGGGTTTATTGACTCCAAAACGGCCCATAGCAATATAATGGCATAGTATATTTTGACCACACCATTAGAAGAAAATTTTGTAAGCTCTTATTTTATAATGGTTGGACCAAGAATTTCGTAGCCAATAGTGTGGTTAAGGCACTACAATTAAAAATATCCAAACACTCATATATGAGATTAATTGAATTAAAAAGGAGGTTCTAATAATAAACGTGCAAACTAACATTCTCTACTAATTAGAGCTTTGTTTTTGAATCCTTTGTGACGCTTGGGACTTGATATGTGGTAATTTACTTTGGGAAGATTGTGGCAATTTGATTAGAGAACGTGGTATATTTCCAAAGCAAATACTTATATCTTTAGATGTAAAGGAAAAAAAAATTAGATTAATTTCAAGATCGCTTCTTGATAAGTCACCACATAAATTGAAATATGTTGAAATCCGCATCTCAGAACCTTAATTACTTTTGCCTTCAAAATTAAAAATCAAAATTTTCCCATTATGCTAACTAAATAGAATAGCTCACAATTGTTGTTTCGGTCACCATACAAACTCTACTAGACTAGTATGGAAATGATCCCTTAGAAATATCTGCTAGCTCCCATTAAAGCAAACTATCCAACATCAAATTGATTTCATTTTGGGAGCAAATTTGCCACACGAACCACACTATTGCATGACTTTATGGAAACACAAAATTCTATAAGAAATAGTGCATAAGCCGCTAGAATTGTAGCTTATTTGTCAGAATTTAAGATTGTGTGTGATTCTGGTATTGCATGTTCCTAAGAAGGATGAGTCGTAGTGAATGTGTATTGAAAATAGAAAGATCAACTTGGTAACAATCAAATTTGATTTTTAATGCTTCACTTGGAAGATCTGTTGGAGAAACTAGGTAGTGTTTCCATATTCTCCATGTTAGATTTAAGGAGTGGTTATCATCAAATCTGTATCAGATTTGGAAACATAGAATTTATCATTCAATTCTCGAGACGGATTGCTCGAATGAAGAGTCATATCGTTGGAGTTGTGCAATGCACTGAACATATTTATGCAATTAATGAATGAGGTACACCAAGTCTTTCTTGGCCACTTTTGCGTCATTTATTTTGATAATATCCAAGTCTATAGCAGTTCCCTAGATGATCACCTTCACCATCTTAAGTTGCTATTTATAATATTATGTGTGATTAAATTATACATCAACTTGCATAAATTTAACTCCATCAAAGTTGAGGTATATTTTGTTGGGCTTCAGTCTTGATATAGGAGGCATTAGAACCGATCCTAAGACAAGTGAAGTGTTACAATTTCGGACTGTTCCCTGCTTGGCAATTGATTTTATAATAGTCTTGAAAATTTTTACATCTACCTAACTATTTGAAGCTCAAACAATATATTTGGGATCTTAAATGTTAGCTTAATTTTATCACATTGAAGGAGTGCCTCAATTCCTTGTTATTGGATAAGTACATGAAAGAGTATGCGATCGAATAAGTAATAAAGTGATGAGAAGGGTATCATTCCATAGGGAAATTAAATTGGTGATGACATGCCATATGATAATTAATAATTGAGTACAAGATTAGAGAAGGAAGAACATTATTAACATTATATTGTGTATAATAAAAAAAGATGTAGGTTAGTCATAGATGAGAAAAGGACTCTAAATGTTAGCTTGAACTCCACCATTCTTAGAGCCAACTTAAAATTTAAACCTCACATGGTATCTTTCATGTTACTTGGGTCACTCCTACATCTTTTCTCATTATAGTAAATCTTTAGTATCAATTAAACTTGTTAGATATAAAGATCAAATCTAATTTGATGTCATCTTTGGAAATTGATCATAAAAAGACCTAGGTTTTATGATATTATGATTGTTCTTCAATATGAGATGAAAAAAAGTCATCTTTAAAATTAGCAAAATGGTCATCAAACTCTTACTTGTCATTCATGTGAGTAAACACCCATTATAACACACAATAAGATAAGTACTCTATACAATTGAAGTCCACTTCAAAGAAAAGTGTCAAATTTTAATTGATTGTTAAGGAAATCATGCTGCAAGAAAAACAAACTATGATGAGACTCGTGTATTTATTATGGTCACCCCACTCCTCTTCAAATTTAGTGATATTACTCCTGAAGAACTTTTTGATAAACTACCCCACTTGAAGGCATTCAATATATACTTATTTTTGTTTCACGTTCTCAACTTCGCAAAAAATTTCATTTTCGGATGAAGCATGCAAATTATATCAAATTAAAAAATAAATTATTGAATAACTTATGAAAATTTTTGTAAGAAAGCTTTTGTCCATATGCAATCCAAGCTTTGTTAACCCCCAAAAAATAAAATTTAGCTAATATGTGTCAATAGTATGGAGATAAACACAATTATTAAATATAATTTTTCTATTCCTTGATTAGATTATGTTGTATATGATATGAACAATACGATCCAATGCAAAACATCATATTCAGTTGGGTTGCATTATGTCAATGTCATAATAGTTGATTAGTTCCCATGATCTAATTGAAAAAAAAAAATATTTCTTAAATTGTCATAATTACATAGCCACTAATATCATTAAAATGAATTATAAATAAAAGAAACACATTTCATTCAAATCACTTGATTATATAGTAAAAAGAATATGCAAATAATCATATTATAATTTTTCCATTGGCAAAACATGTATATCACCATGACAATAATAAAAAAAAAGATATAAATTAGTAACATGCCTAAGATTGAGCTCTTAATAATAACTAATAGCCTAAACTCAATTTGAGCCTTAAGTTTTCTTGAAATGACTCATGCTTATAAAATGAGGGTGAGCATATAAATCTCGACAGACTACTCAATATTTAACATAATTTCTAATACAAAAAATAGAAAAAAAATAGATATTTGCTACAGTAACAACATATAAACAAGAAAATTTACTTCAAATAAACTAAAAGAATATCTTGACATATCAAGTGTTATGTTTATAAAGCACACTATCAATATGTCAATTAGTGTCAACAATAAATGTATGTCAAGTCACAATATAAGCATATATTTTCATATGATGTCAAAGATAATAATAATAATAATTCATTGTTTAAGTTAACATATTTTATAATTTTTGTCTCAACTCCTTATATGTCAACCTATTCATGTTTCCTTTATCTCTTACATCTTTAGTTTAACTTGTATCTTCAATTATTCACATAGATTTAGGCATTTCAAATGCACAGATAGATAATTATATAAATATATAAAACTATTATAACTCCACTTGAATGCATATAAAATGTTGTCATTCAGCCACCCATAATTCTCATTTTTTTCTATTTTTGCATATATACTTTGAATACTAAAGAAATCTGTAAAAATCAGTATGTATAAATAATAACATAACCTATGAGATAAATCAACATATGTAGACTAACAATTATAATTCACAAAACAATTTTTGAGCAATATCTCGAGAAATATTTCAAAGTTACACTTGATCTATAGGAAATTTAATTAGTTTAATATTCTTGCTAAAATATATAAAATGATGTACACCACAAATTATTCAATGAGAGAACTTTGTTGAAGTCAATATGTCCAATACAACCCATTTACATATCAATAATTAAGTGGTGAAAGCTTTATAATTTTTTATAAATTTAAGCTTATTTAAAATTTAATCAAATAAAAATATTCAATATTTACAAAAAAAAAGAAAAAAAAAACATAAAATTGAGATTTGAAGTAGAGTAATAATAGCCTACATAAAAACACAAAAAATTACAATTAGTCAGATAAATGAAATCAACTCTATAACCTATGAACCATAACTTTGTTTCTCCAATTTTCTCTTATCCCTTACCTTTCTCTCTCTATAATTATTTTCAATTTGGGAAGAATCAAAAGCAAAGTTTTGTGGTAGAATAAGTATATAAAAAGATTTTCATAAAAAATAAATTAGGATATAAATGTGATTATTAGATGTATTAAATTATTTATTAAAATTTTATATAAATCTTATACCTTGAAAACATAATTCAAAAAATTATTAAAAAAATAATAAATAGTTTTATTATGTAAAAATACACTATTAAAAATGGTTCATAAATTAGATGTCAGATTGTTTCAGAAAGCTCATTTTTACAATGATGTATAAATTTCTCAAGAGAATAAATTCAATAAAAAATCTTTTATTTTTATACCTATCATACTCATAAAAATAAATAAATAATATACATAAAATAAAGTTGAGAATGCTCTATAATATGACGAAGATGATTTGTGAATCATACATAAAATATATATAGATAAATTAATCGAATACAATAAAGTTAATTTCAATAAGTCAAAACATTGACGAAATACTCTCAAGTTCCTCTTTATAGTTAAGTTAGGTTATATCTTAATCGCATTCCCAAGAATTTTATGCTCAACATCAATAAACCATGTTATTGGTACATATACATGGAACACATTATACATATCTGACATATGATCTGCTAGCAATAAATGTAAATAAATTTGTCAACTTCACTAGTCATCTTAAAATGCCCAATAAATCTTGGACTTAAATTATCTTCTCTCTGAAATCTACTCAAACCCTTCATAAGACTGACTTCTAAGAATATAAAGTGATGTTTGAAACTTAACAATTGGATATGTGGGATCATAAATGTCTATTATTTGTTGTCCTCAATTTATCTCTAATTAATTTAATACTCTCGATGACATCATCTACTAACTTAAGACCCATTAATCTTGTTTCACCCACCTTTACTAAAGATAACTGTATCTTGCACCAACTATCATATATTATACTAACACTTATTAAATTAATCGATATTTCGACCAAAAATATATTTGGTTAAATGCCAGTGGATATTTCCATCATATTTTGCCAATTTTCATGATGTGTGATTGTCGATAGACATGTTCATTTATTGGTTGGTTCATTTGTGGCGATTTCAGCTTGAAAATTTCAGTTGGATGTTCTATCAATAATCCATCATAATTTATTTATGACAACTATTTTGATCATCAGAATGCATTTCTAACCAAATATATTATAGTGGTCGTTAATCCATCATAAATACAGTTAAAATTAAATTACTAGCGATATAATTTAATTTTATTTTGTGGGATTAGTTCGCTAAAAACGAATGCTTTTCCTACAGTGCAGGTAGAGGTCAAAGTCAATAAAACACAAAGAGCTATAGAGAATATGATGAGATTATTACTTAATTAGTCTCAAAGTTTTCGTTCTTGTAATAATTTGCTTTATCAAATGTTATTAAGTTAGATTTATGGATGTGTTTCAAGAAGTACCCCTCGAGTGAGTTCCTCTGGAGAGAACTCTCAAGTAGTGCCAATTAGAACCTTTGCTCAACGAGTGCGTGCTAATTATATTGTAGGAAATTGCTTTTTAAAACTAAATTTGCTAGTTCAAACAAAGTTTATAGCCACCACAAGTTCTCATCCGCAAATTAAAAGTGAGATTTATGATATTGATAAGCTCTTTTGAATTAACACCCCCCACCCCCCAGTATTTTAAACTTTAAAGATTTTAGTAGTTTCATTTTGATATAAGTTGAAATCAAATTGAAATTCATTATTGTTTTTTTTTGTTTCTGGTTTTTTTTAATTTTTGGCTTTAAATTTAATTAAATTTGTTAAAAAATTAGGTGAAATCAATAGATTTGTATTAAGCTAATATATGTTTGATGAAACTTTACTTGAACACTGAAATAATCATTTAAGTTTCTAATAGAATGTGAGTACATACTAGCTTTGTAATAATTTCTCAAAAATTTAACCGAAGTCAGAATTGAAATTAAAATTTGAAACTAATAAACAGAAATTACAAAATATGAACGAAGATTGAAACTTTACCACCAACCAATTCAATGCTCGATTTAAATATTCGTGTTCGTATTCGGCTCGTGTTCGGCTCGAAATTGGCTCATTAAACTAAAATTGAGAAAAATAGATGTAAAATGTGAGATTCGAACCTAGATCAAATCTATACAAAAGAAGACACTAACCACATTGTCACATGAGATGTTATGATTTAAACTTAAACATAAATATATATAATATATTATTATATAAATAATATATGTAATATATTGTTATATAAAAAGTTATATAATTTTTTTTTTTCCGAGTCATTTCGAGTCGAACACGTGCGAACAAACTGTTGTTCGTGTTCGGCTCGTTTACATTTCGAGCTTAAAAATTTGTTCGTGTTCTGCTTGTTTGGCTTAATGAACGAGCCGAACACGAGCTGCTTAACCAGCCGAACACGAGCTATTCACGAACAACGAGCCAAATTGACAGCCCTAATGATCAGTTCTGATTGCTAAAATTCACTAATTATTTCCTTGTACTTTTTTTGGAGAACAAAAGATGATATTGAATAGTGTCAGTTATCCTGTGTGTTTGATTAGACAGCCAAATAGCATTTTTTTCAATATATAATGCGAGCATATGAACATCACTTATAATAAAAAGGAGCATTTGCACTTAGCACACAATCCTTGCATACTTTACGGTATAATCTAATTTGCAGATGTGATAATTATTATTTATTTTAGTCAGCAAATAATATGACATTTCACATTGTAAAAAGTATCACCAACATATATCTATTATTAAAAAGCGGCGGCCCAAACTGGCAGAGATCGAATGATCCTCACTTCGCTCGCCAGCAGAAAACTAAGCAGACAATTACGCCTGGGCATGTTCAATAAGATTGGCTTAAGACATTAGAGGATAGAATATAAGTCGATCGAGCATTCAAGTGAGATGTTAATTGCAATGAATCTAGCACCATGGGCCGACTGTGACCAAATGACCACCAGAGGCCGATCATAACCAGATAGCTACCAAAGACATATCACAACAAGATAGTCAACATAGATCGATCACGACCAGACGATCACCGGAGTTCAACCACTATAGATTGATTATTACAAAACAGACAACAATAAGAAGATACCCCGATGATCTCGATTCTAAATTACACACTTATAAAATCCAAGGGTTTAGTGGTGATATAAGGCTAATTATGACATTTTGTAACCCCGAAAAATATGGGGTTTGAAATGTAAACTTGAGCCTAAGAGCCCCACTTTTTGAGAAACTCCTCCCCTTTAGTCTCCATCTTGCTCAATTGGACCTCAACACTTAAGAGCTCAACTTGATGTAGCTTTGCCCATAGCGCTAGGTGCGACAACGGCTCATTTAATTCTTGATGTCCCTTTCCAATTATTATGAACCAGCACATGCACCATCTAACAATTTTAATCATCTTTCAAACTTGGACAATCTCACAATTAAATTTATCAATAAAATTGCTGGTATGTCCAAAGTTCGCCTCATCGACTCTTTCTATTGTTGTTTCTACTAAAAAAAATATTGCTTTGCCATGAATCATAACTTTCAATTTGTATATGTTGTAAGAACATTAACGATATACTTTGAGATTCGACTTTTACAAAAGTGTAACTATTTAATGCCCCAAGGCCATCCTATATGGTCTTCATTCTCAAGCATCGAAATTGCTACATCTTTCCTAAAAGTTCCCTGATATCGAAATTTCTTGCACCACAGTTCATGTTTAATGCATTACTTCTCATAAACAAACCACGAATCTCTTCATCAAAACTCAACCTTGAGGACAATTTCAAGAATTATATATGACACTCGAGTTAAAACCTTCTAACCCTTTCCAAATTGCGACGATTAAGTAATATCAAACATTTCTATAAGTGTTTAATATGTAAAAATTTGTATATATGAGGGTTTCATTGAATCACTATACCCCTGCTTACTATACTCATTTTCTCCATATGTATTCTTTTTTCTGCTTATTTATGGACCTGAATATGATTGTAAAAAGACGAGAATACAGATAAAACTCCAATTTTTTTTTTCTATTGTTTTACGTTTCTATCATACATAACTTGCAACTAAGGTATTGCAACGTGGGGCCAGGGAACACAAAACAGAATTTGGAAGGCTTAAACCCTTAGACTATCCTTAATGATAATTAAAATAAAACTTCTCTTAAATAATAAAGACAATCAAACAACTAGACAAAACACATTTATCGTTAAAGGATAATAGCTATAATATTTAAGAAAAATCTTACTCATATCTGATACAAGTTGTGTAAAGTTGTTGAACAAGAAAATATGACACTCATATGACTCATATCTAGCAACAAAAGGCTACATCTATAATACTCTATATAAACTAGAAACCATACCAAATCTCTTAATACATGGATCACTCTAATAAGTCTTTTTTTTTCTTTTGTTTTTTTTTATTTTTTAAGTGCGATATATTTAAATGCTAAAAAGGAAATACCCTTTAGCTGGGAACGTCTGACAACCCAATGCTCCCTTAGCTGGGATGGAGGTGGAGCAGAAAGAGGATGAGCAACCCTTGTCTCTTCGCTCGCTTCTCCTCTCTACCTCACATTCTTATTCATATAAAAACTAAACACTTCATGCAAACCACAGTAGACAAGGGATATAAAAAACCCTCCACTACTGAACTATATATGCTGCTCCAAGACCTCAATTCTTATACTTCAAAGAATTTCAGACAAGTTTATAACCAGAGATCCAAATATCTGCTGGTTTAGCCGAATGGATGTACACAAACTCAAAGCTCTTTCCAGCGGGCAGCGACTGAATCCATGAAGGAAAATTGTAACCATGTACAGCCCTTTGGAGTCCCCATATCGGGCCATAGAGCTTCGAAACAACTATCTTCAGATCCTTTGCTGTCATTGATGAATTGTTATTAATAATAACTGAGTATCTATAGTAGGTTCGTCCTTTTGCAAACCAGGAAGTTGTTGCAGTTTGCTTTACAGTGAATGGAGAGAAAGCACCAGTTACTGAACGTAAACATCAATCTCCATTAGCTTTAATTCATTAAATGAAAGCAATCTGATACACAGCTGCTTTAGGTGTTAAATACCTGGAACAGGTGACGGCTTTGGTTGGGGACTTGGCAAAGGTTTAGGCATTGTAGGCAAATTAGGCTTAGTAATCACAACTGCAATAAACAAGATTTTCATGACAATCCTAAGAACAGCTTACCTACCCCAGCTTACTAAATCAAGTTAAGAATGAGGGATGCATACCAGGTAAAAGCTGGTTAAATCCACCATTGCCACCATGAAGGCGAGCAAGAAGACCAACTAAAGGAGCATTATTATAGGTAGCAGGCTCAGTCTGCTCATAGTTATCTCTCTCATCAGCAAAATTATCATAAGCATCAGGACCACCAACAATGGCACCATCCAAGAGATTGGGGTCACTAGCCTTTCGGCTAAACCAAGTTGCATATCCACCTCTACAACTCACAAATGAATCATCCACCTTGATAGAGACGATCGAGGATCCACGATGGTGTACCTGCTGTGGATAGGTTGAACCGTATCCTACCATGTAGCTGGTACCTCTGGGGTTGTCGCCGAGAATGTAATCCACCTATTCAATTGATCAATATCCATGAATTTATAGTAATAAGTTAGAAATTTTTCATTAAGAAATTGCTAGATTACAATACCAAGCATTAATCAATATTGTAAACAAGCAGTCAGCGAAACAAATAGAGCTTATTTACAACTAATTGTAAACTGCTATATAATGAACCAATGTTTTGAACAGCATAAAAAAGACGAAGGACTAAGTCAGCTAAACAATATCCATGATAACGATTACTAAGAATATAAAGAAAAAGACAAGACAAAAACAGCATGACCGTTGCATTCAACATAGTCTAAAATCACAGACCAGTCTAACCGCTCATCCTTTCTAAAATAAAATAAATCATGGTATCATTCAAATGTGGACGAAATTAAATATTTAAAAGCATATAATCTATCAATATTGAATTCAGACTGATTTACCTGTGACTTGGCAAAGCTGACAAGATCAGAAGGCGAGGCAACTCCTGAGGAACACTTCACATTCTGTCCTGCAGATTGGAGATAGTCGGAGAAGACGGTGAGCAGAAAAGAAGCACTAGTCACAAACTGCAAGTTGTTCCATCGCTGCCGGAAGAGAAGGCCACCAGGGGTTCTCTGAACATTGTGGGAGCCCTTCCCCAAGCATGAGCACATGAAGAAGTCTGCATTCTGTCTGTACTTCTCAAACACCTGCCAATTGTGAGCTGCTTTCCCTTGGAGAAGAAACTGAAGAGATTCAAATGTGTGTATGTTAGAATTTGCTTCAATCATGAGATCAAAATTTGGTGCTGCTTAAATGTAGAAGAGCTACAAATTTAGATAGAATTTAAGAAATATTTGTTCCTGTGTAAAAAACACTAATCCTCTTTATATGAGATCAGTATTCGGCGCTGCTGAGATGTAGAAGAGCTACAAATTTGGATAGAATTTAAGAAATAGTTGTTGTTGTGTAAAAAACACTTATCCTCTTCATATGACGCACATATAGACCGAAAAAAAAAAAGGAAAAAAGAAGGGTTCAAATGATATTTAAGTTTAGTAAAATATTTGAGATTTTTTCTTTAGAAATTAAAATATACTTTATCATTTTCTTTTATGGCATTACAAACATTATGTGTATTTCGTGAAATAGAAACAATATCTGAAAATTGTTCTCTGCAAGTCGAGAAGCTTCATTGTATTTTTTCTTGTGCAGAAACTTTGCTTCAGGTTGTTTGAAGCTTTAATAACTTCAATAATAGTTGTTCATTTTTAATTACAGAAACAGCATTTTTATAAATTGTTTTTACATATATAATAGTTCAGTTAAGTTAACTGCATTTAAGTTTTGATGAATTTGACGGCCTCATCAAGTTAAGAGTTTCAAAATTCAACTAAATTGATGCAATTTCTATTGATTTTTAACGGTTATACTTGCTCCCTAAAATTAAGCAATTTTAGACAAAGTCACACAACCTTCTGAAAACCGACTGATTAACTTACTTTAGGCAAATTTTCAAAAAAGTTCTAAAGCCTTAGGAAAAATCTGGGAACAATCCGTTTCAGGAAAACTGCATACATTCCTTCTTATATTCCAGTTCAAATTTTAGATGTAACCTCCCTCAATATATTTTGTTTAGAGTTTGGGCTCTCAACGAGAAGCTCTTTATAAATTTGAGGTTTTGTATTCATGACGAGTAAGAAACTTTCGGATAATTAGAAACATAGTACGCAAAATATTCTATTTACAAAATTAGCTCCCAAGTAATTTTTTGAGCTAACAAATTGATGCATTTATGTGTGACATGATCTAATCATTGAAAATTTAATAAACATGAACAATATGAGCTAGAGTTTTTAGTGTGAATTTTGATATTTGAGTGAGAATTTGAAAAATGGATGAAAGAGGGTGGTAATGTTATAAATAGCAATGTTCCCATGATACGTATATGATAATTTTAATTTTAGCTTTTTATTAAACTTCTAATGAATTTCGAGTGGAATTCACAACGGTCAGATTACATCTACCTAAAGTTTATACAACCACACCACAAAATCGACCCGTAGGATAGCACATGCCACGTGTCCCTTGTACTACACTACTATTTTTTTAAAGTAGAGCACAAGAAATGACCTTGGAAACGAGAACTTGCACACCGGCATACTTGACGTCCCAACCAAATTCGGTCATGGCCCACCCAGTCCCACCCAGTGGGCCACCGTTGCTTCCCAAGTAGTCCAAGTAACATGGCTCGTCGGTCGCCTCGTGCATCCACGCTGCAGCCCAAAGAAGCTCATCCTGCACAACCAACATAATCAGAACCGTCCATCCTCTCCCCCACAACAAATCTAGAAAATCCCATCACAATACAAACCCCGTATCCGCTGATGGATCTGTAGTACTTCTGAACAACGGAGATGCTGCTGTCGTACTTCCCGCGGTATTTATCAGCAAAATCGAAGAGCTGAAGATGAGATAATCAATTAAAAAAACGAATTGCGATAACCACGTGTCGAGTGCTGCCGCCCTACATCGATTGACCGTTAACTCCTCGGATTCAACAGTATAGCAAGTACACGAGGGTGCAACGGTCATTTCAGCAAATGCACCGACACTTCCACATGCCTATGTCCGGCTGCCAAAAACGGATCCCAAATTGGAAGGCCCACTTTTGCCCAAGGAATATATAAATATATATAAATATAATTATATATATATATATATATATATATATCAGCAGCCAGCATCACAGAAAATATATATATATATATATATAAATATATATATATATATATATATATATATATTGGCTGGGCTCGTGTTTACGAATAGCTCGTGATCATCTCATTAAACAGCTCGTGCTCATGTGCTCTGCTTCATTGCTACGCAAACGACTGAACGAGAATACTAAATTTTTTTTTTGGCACTCTAAATATAAAGAGTTAAATATAAACAAAAATTTATTTGTTGGTATTAACACATTTTAACTTAAAAATAAAAATAAATTTAAATATATTAAAATAACTTGTTAAGCAAACCGAGTCGAACACAAAAATAATAGTATTTTTCAAGGAGTAGAGCTTGAGTTTGCTCAAACTCTGACTAGTTTACACCTCTTTAATATATTGAAAGGCCCAAAGAAAAAATTAAACGAGCAGGCTTAAAATTCAGAGTTCCGACCTGCTTGGCGTGGAGGAGGAGCTGGTTGGAGTAAGCCGGATCGGACCGGCGGAAAACGATGGAGGCCGCGGCCATTGCGGCGGCGGTCTCACCGGCGAGGTCAGACCCAGGGTGTTCTGTGTCGATCCGGTAGGCCTGCCGGCTCGTCGTCATGTCCTCCGGTCGCTGCCAACAGTAGTGGTCGGTGTTCCCGTCGCCCACCTGTAAATTTATTTTAAACCGACGGTTATGAATAATTAATCGTTAATTAGACAGTAATGTACAAATTAAATACACCCATGTGAAAGTTTCGAACTAGGGAACAGCGCTGTTAATGCGATGTGAAATGTTTAGGAAGCTTATATTTTGAGGAGTGGTCCGCCGGTCCGATAATTTTGCATTGTATTATACATTTAATATATAATAAATTATATTCTGATGCAAATCTCCAGAACAAAGTACGTGATAAAAAATGTAAGAGGAATTTAAAGGTACAAAATAATGAATTCTTCTATGGGAACTTATATAATACTTTATTTTCTATATTTATTTATATAACTTTTAATCTCTAAATTATTGATATTAACTTAATTACTTAAAAATGAGCAGCTTTTCACTGTCCATTTCATGATATATCTAGCAGATACAAGTCCATATGAAATAGGCATCTTATCCTAACCATTTGCATAGCTAAATATGGAAATTCAAATCATTGATATGATTCTCCACTATTTTATTCAGTAAAACAAGACTACTGAAGAGCTCTTAACAAACAGTGCCTTTAAATATTCTGTTTTTTATTTTTACTACATATGCAACAAAATAATGTGATTTTTCCTCAGATTTATCACACTATCATCATAACAGACCACTAACATGCATTTTAGTATGCTATTCTGCGGCTGTCACCATCAAAGTACCTTTCGTTTATAGATAGTCCATCAGCAAACTTTAATCCTTCCATATGGTAATATAATCAAATTGGAAGTTGCATTTTAAGCAGCAATTGTCGCAACAGAGATTAGCTAGAGTAAAATTGTGAGATTACCCTAAACACTTAATAATCACTCGCTGAATATAAGAAAATCATGGGATTAAAACTAATAAGTTATGAAAGTACACCACAAAGGCACACACATCAAATTTTAATAAACTGAAGCGCATATAAAAGGAAAATGTAAACCAAAGAAGACGAACTGAAAATGCTTGACTTCCAGAGTGGGTTTAAGCAGGCATCAGTCCAGTCAAAAAGCAAACCAAAGCCGACCGACAAGTTCCAGAAAAAAAAAAATAATAATAATAATAAAACCCTAAGGAAACAAAACAAGAAAGATTTCTATTAATGTCGGCCCCATCAGACAGTAAGGATCAACAAACAACATCCCATGAGAAATCTCCAAGAAATGATGTGATTGAAGATTAAGAAAAAGCTTATAGGTTACCTCGCCATAGAGAACAGTAGGTTCGGGGTGAGCTTTAATGAGATAGTCGGTGCCCCACTTCACTGCTTCCATGGCATGCCCGAGCTCCCCACTTTCAGCCATTTGCTTCCCGTACTCTAATATTCCCCAAGACATCATGGTGATGGTGAATGCCATGGGTAACCCAAACTTTACATTGTCCCCTGCATCATAGTAACCCCCAACCAGATCTAACTGCAAGGAGAAGTATATGAGAAATTGATGAAAGAAAGAAGAACAAATCGGTTTAATAAATCAAAGCAGAAAAAAAGAGATACCCCATTTGCTTTCCCATCAAGAAGACCGGAGTTTCCTCTCCAGTTAATCCTCTGGTTGCCTGGTAGATAACCGGATCTCTGAGCCTCAAAGAAGAGAATGCTCTTGCTGAGAGCTTTCTGATAATCATGCGTAGCAGATGCAACGGAGGCTATAGAAAGCAAGAACAGGTTAACCAGAAACAGAACCCTTCCCATCTCGGACAAAAGAAAAAAGTGGAAGCCCTAATGGAAAACAGAGAAGGTAAATGCTAAATAAAATCAAGTTCCTCTTCCCAGACGCAATGCAGCTAAAAATTTTCAAATTAAAAGCTGTGAAAAATATCGAACTGGGAAGAGGAAGAAGAGAGGATGGGGAGATGGGAAGAGCAGAGGATAGAGGTTAGTGGGTAGCTGAACGACCCTATATATGAAGGAAGTGAGGAAGATAAAAGAAATGGCTGAGAGTAATAAAATAAAATAAATTTAATTTACGGAAACCAATTTTTAATTTTTTTTTTTGTTTTGATTTTGAGAAGAAACGGTAAAAATTAGAAGAAAAATTTGCGCGTGTGAAGGATATTCGAAGGGTATTGATAATTTATATTCGTGTTATACTTCTCTGTAATATATCTGTAACTTATTTATAACGTGTCAATACTCTCTGAATACAAAAATTTTTCTGTGCGGATTCCTGAAGTAGCTCTACGTGCGGCGCAGAGTATTCCTGAGCTATTTTCAAGTTATTTCTGAGTTATTTTCAGTAAGAAATAACCCGCGGTCTTTATATTTGAGTTATTTATGAATTATTTTGGGATTACTGAAAATAACTCCGAAATAATCTGAAAATAATCTGAAAATAACTCCGAAATAAACTACACGGCACATAAAGATAAGTCAGGTTTACTGATGAAAAATGTGCTCCTCCGAATAATCCCTAACTTAGCAATTTTTCTCAAAAATCAGGGCATGTGGGTTCGCTGCTTTTCAGAGAAGAACGTCGGTGTGGTTTTTCGTCCTTTATTAATTCAAAATTGATTTTTTTTTTTTGCGCGGTTTTAATTTACATAATAAAAAGGAGATTTTTACTGCGATCATTAAATAGAAGTTATTGCGGGCACCGAAAAGCGAGGAGAGGTTCATGAAGGAGCATCTCCACCGTCAAATCGACGATGGACGGATACCAAACATCCCTCTCAATATTTAGCTTCAAACTCCCCATATTTTGTCATTTAAAAAATGTAAGCCGTCTGATTCATTAATTTATGACCTGCATTTATAAATCAAATACTCACCATCGGTAATGGGATTTCTAACCGTTTCAAGAGTGACGCCTTAATGTTTTTTCTTTTGTTTTTTATTTAGGAAAAACAAAAAAATATAAAATAAAAATAAAAAGGAAACTGGCGACAAAATGTGCCAATTTTCCAAAGGAAAGGAAAAAAATATTCAAATGCAAAACAAAATAAAAAAAAAATTTAAAAATTCCCCACCGAAAGGTGGCAGCCAAAATGAACAATTTTTACATATATTTTTTTTAATTTTCAAAATAAATCATCACATTTTTAAAAACTGTGAAAACAATTGAAGATGTTTTGTGTTTTTCAAAATAATTATAATTCTAGCTTCGTGGAGTTTTCATCGGGAGCAGGAGTGCCCTATGAGGCGATAGCAGCGCTGTGAGGCGATTTCAAATCCCCTCTAGTGTTTGGTGAATTTTCTTTTCAATTTCCCTTTCTTTCGGGAAAACCTGGTTTCTTTTTTATTTTTTACTTCTCTACGGATTTCTTTTTGGTGTTTTGGGGCTTTTGCACCTTTTGCCTTTTACCAAGGAGAATTTTTTTGTCTCTTACATTCTCTTCTTCTCAACTCTTCTTGGCTCTAGCTCTATTCTTAATTGGAACGGTCTTACCTCTTCTCATCTTGTTAGTTCTACTAATTTTAATCTATCCTACCATCCAAATTCTTGTGAACAGATTTCTTTCTTTGATCAAGAACAGTTTAAAGGCTCAAAGCAATGGAATCTAGCTCTAATTGGATATGCGCTTGACAAGCGTCATTTCTATCGTAAATTACAGCAATTTGTTGCAAGAAAACAGAAACTGAAAAAGTGTTGTAGATGTTCATTCCCTTTTTGAAGGTTTTTTTTTCTCTGTTTAACAATAACTGTGGGAAAGATTTTGATAAGGTTTTGATTGGTGGTCATTAGTTTATTACTAGTAAACCATTCATTTTCAAAAAATAGTCTTATTATTTTAATCCCGCCAAAAAAGATTTTAGGGAATGGGTTGAGTTTCTTGATTTGTCATTATGTTGTTGGAATGATTAAGCTATTTTAAAGATTACAAGTTGAATTGGTGTTCTTTTTGTTGTTGGCTCTTTAACATCCAAATTTTCTAAACTTCCTTTTGCAAGAGTTATCATTCACAAAAATGTAAACCCTTCTCTCCATGATTTCATTCTTCTTGATATTAAAGGGAAGGAGTTTAATTTATATGTGATTTAAGAAAGGAAGCTAACTCCTTATAAGACTTGTTGTACCTTTGTTCATGACCCTCAATCTTGTCCTAAAGTGATGAATGTTCAACCTAATATTGTTGCTCCTATTTTTAGGAGTAATAATAGGTTTTATAATAATCAAAGATTTTAAGGAAACAAGAGTAGGCTTTATATCCCTATTAGGGTTTCCACTATTAATAATAACATTATTCTTACTGCTTTGGATTTAAATATTCTTGTTGATATCTCTTTATGTAGTACTGAAATTGTTATAGAAAATATAGACACTCAACCTTCTATTGTTGAACTTAATATTTCTATAGATCTTGAAAGTATTTTTTTGCCTTATGTTATTTCTTCTTGCGTTATAGACTTAAGTCAAGATAATTGGCTCGTGTTCAAAATATTTCTAGTAATATCATTTTGAGCTACGATTAAATTTTCATCAACCTCATTATTAATAGAACTATGCCCTAAATATTGTTTTTCTCTTTGCTCTCTACCTCTAGGACAAAAAAAGGAAAAATTAAGGTTGGTAAAGCTATGCATTAGTTTATTTTTTTTGTGTTATTTTCCTCTCATGTTTTATCATAATATTCTAACTTGAAATGTTTGTGGGTTTAGTAATAAAACCTGTGTTTTTTATTTAAGAAGATTATTTATGAGACTTGTGCTTATATGATTAGTCTTATTGAAATTAAGCTGTCTCTTTCTTCAATTATAATAATTTTTTTTCTAAAAAGTTTAGACTTTTTAATAATGATCAACGTGTGAATAATTTTGATATTGATAAAAATTGGCCAATTTAGGTTAAATAAATGTGAGGTTTTTTATTTTACTGCTTTAGAAGTCAAATCTCAATGCATTCATGACGTGTTGACTTTTCCTTTTTTGTTAAGTTTTTATTACTTTCATTTATGCTAACAATAGTGTCACTATCAAAATGAATCTTTGGAGTTTTATCACTTATCTTACTGCTAATATTAATGATCATTGGCTTCTGTGGGGTGACTATAATCACCTTCTTATAGTTAATGAGAAGGTAGGGGGTCATCCTCCTATACCTTTTAAGCTTACTGATTTTAATATTTTTTGTTTCAATCTTACTATTTTTAAATTAAAAATTATTACTCATAAGTTAATTTGATATAATAATCAAATTGATAATCCTATTAGAAATTTTCTTGACAAAGGTTTTGTAATACTTCTTGTGTGGATTCTTTTTCTTACTCTTTTTTGTAGAGTTTTGGATATTTATATTTCTGATCATTCTCCTATTTTTATGTTTGTAGGGGATTCTTATGCTTTAAAACATGATTTTTTGTATAAGATTTATTAGAGTGATTGTTTTGAGTTTTTGGATATTGTCAATGATGCTTGAAACATTAATGTTAAAGGCGATCCTTTATTTTTCTTTTGCAGTAAATTGAAGAATGCCAAAGAAGCTTTTAAGCATTGGAATTGGTGTAATTCTAATTTATTTTTTAATTATATCAATGAATTAAAAAGTTAAACAAGAGTGATAATGAATAACTTGGATGTTAATCCTCTTTGCAAAGATGTACCAAATCAAGTCTCTTTTAACCAAGAGAGTCTTCATAATACTCTCTCTTGTAATTATAAATGGTTAAATCAAGTGCTAAGTGTGAATGGTTATTAAAGATGAAGATGATTCTAAATTTTGTTATTAAAATAATATAATTAGAAATAACTCTACTTTTATTAAAATAATTTTAGTCAACCATATTTACTTACATCAACAAAAGAATATTGCTAATGTTTCTTAAATCTTTGCTTAATAATTATGTTGATATTTCTCCCTCTATTTTTGATACATTTCTTATTTCTAATATCATTTTTCCTTGGATTTTGAAGCCTTAATAAAGGTGCTCTCTAATGAAGAAATTTAAAATAATTTTTTTTTATATTGGAAATTACAAGTCTCCTGGGCCCTGACAGATTTACTTCTAAAAATTTTAAAGATTCTTCAAATATGACTGAGGATGATTGTATTCATGTAATATTTTTTTTTTTAATGCTGGTAAGCTTTCTAATAGGATTAAGCATACTATCATCGCCTTAACCCTAGAGAAAGATGCTCAGACTTTAAATAATATTTGTTCTATCCTCCAGTGTAATACCTTATATAAAGTTATTGCTAAGCTATTAGCTGGCAAAATTAGACTTATTTTTTGTAATATTATTAATTTTGTTCAAGCTATTTTTACTAAAGAGATTGATTTTACTAATAATAATATCATTTCGGCTAATGAGTTATTAATATGATTTTAATTCTACTAATTTTGGTAAGAAGTTTAGTTTACATAAAGTTTGACATACTGATGGAATTTTAACTTGAGACATCTTCCGTTGGCTTTATTGTATACTGATCATTATTGGTATTCAATATAGAAACGAAAGATTTTTTCGCTGTATTCATTATTATGAAACTCAGCTTTTTATTTTCTTATGCTTGTTCAAAAGAGGCATATGATCTTGTGACAGACATTTCGCTCAGCCCCTCGCCTTCCGGGAAGCAAAGTCGGACCAATGACATGAATGAAATTCCCCAGCAAACTATTCGTGTATGTGAAACTCTCGCATTAGCTAAGAAAATTCAACTCTTCTTTTTGAAATTGCATACACATTCCACCACGAAGAGTACTATTTCTCGCCTCATTTTGATTCCAATAGATATTTTGTTGCATTTTCCTCCATGATAATCTTTTTTTTTTTTTTTTTTTTTTTTTGCCAAAAGAATTATTGTCTTCATGCCGGAAAGTTATAATAAAGATTATTACATTAATACTAGAATATAATTTTATGAAGGCCCGTAATAAAAGATGTATATTTGTTTTATCATTTTAATTATGTTTGATACATATTATGCCCGCCAAGTGAGATCGACCACTC